TGTTAGTATAACTTTTTATTCATTCAGAAGTGTGATGCCTTCATTGGCCCCCTTGGGCAGTATTTTAAACCATATAATAAGCAGCTGTCATTTGTTGGGATTGTTATTTTTTTCCCCAATACTACAGTACCTGCCTTAGAATTTCCTCCATATAATATCACAATGTCAAGAAAATTCACAAATTGTTACTGTGATGTTCCTGGTACAGTACATGGAATATTGAGCACGAACCTTTATAAATTGTGAACAGCTCCTTCCAGCTCTTTTCTACTACGTTTCTTCTATACTAAGTTTATTCCTATTTGCAGGCTTGTTCTTTCATTCATCCATTTCTCCTCCCCTGACAAAGGTTGCAATGGAACTATTTTTCACAGCAAAAGATTCCACTTACTCCAGTGGCAGTCGCATGTGTTCCTGGGTGAGAGACATAGTATGGGATCTATGAGTGTTCTGGATACAGAAGGTCAAGGTTGGACATACCTAACAAGCACCTTGTAAACAAGTACCTGAACCACTTCAACTGGTTTTCCTTGATCTGGAAGACTTGTCTTTACTCTGAGGCCCTCACAGATATCTGGGTCATGCCCTGACACAGGGAGTAGGTCCAACAGCTCAACTGAACCAAATCAATGAACCAGATCATTGATCTTCTTAATAACTCTGCCTATTTATACATTCAAAGTCACAGGTTTATAAAACCTGAAGCATTTCTTTATGTTCTTTTTAGGAAAATGGAGGGGAAGTCATGCTTTCCATTCATTTAGCGTCATAAATCTTTCTGATTTCTGATTTTCTAAATTTAAATGAACTTATATGTTGGAGTAGTAAACCTCAATATTGGCAAGCAGGGTGTATCATTGAAAGCCTCTGATGAAACTTGAAGATATAATAATTCAATAATTTAATGCTCTCTAGCTAAGAATTCCTCTCACAAAAAATGAACTGTCCCAAAATGGGCTTCATTGTTGACTCAGCTCATTAGATCGAGTGAGATGTACGTCTGTAGATTAACGTGTCTGCCTAACTCATCTGTAAACAGGAGGCTCTGAGCCTGAGAGTCCCTTAGCCGAGGGCTCAGATAAATTGTAGCATGGGAGTGAAGCATGTCTCATGTCCTACAGTAGTTGGTCTGACAAGGGTGGCCCCATGTTACAGCATCACTCTCGGAGGATAGCGTGTGTAAGTTGGAGAAATTTGTGAAAATGTAGTGGGTGTGTCAGACAATGTGGACACACCTGTTTCATGCTCTAAAGTGCTCTAAAGAGCTCTAAAATGATGGTCATGCCATTTTAATTTAAATTTAAGTTAATTTAAGATAATCTCACTCAACCATTCGATTGAAAAGTTGGTTTATATTGTTAATAAAAACAATTTGAATACTTTTGTTCCTTGGCTGTGACTCACAGTTTGCTTCTAGACTGAGCACAATGTGATATTATCTACAGTATAGTATATTAATTACAATGCCAACTGGATTTTCATAATCTATTCATTTCCAAATTGCTTATCCATAATCAAAATAAACTGGATTATACTACAAAGTATAAATCATGCATCTTAAATGTTATGTTATATCCCAATATAAACACCATTATGATGTTTTAATTTTTAATTTAATTTCAACTTAATTATCAAGATGTTTATTTTTATTAAAATGTTATTTTTCTCGAACTTTTTCTGAATTTCAATCGTTTTGTATCAAATGTAATAACAGCAGATGAATTGTGCCTAATGAAGCACTGTTACTAGGAATCCTCAATAGCATTAGTAATAAATTCAGACAAGTGCTGTCTATACGATCGTACAACCGATCCATGTTACATTTTAATACAGGCATATTATTTGCTTACTGTTAATCACAATAACCTGTGCAAGAGACAGTACATCAATGTCTTCAAAAGTGTCTTCTCCAAAATTGATCAATCCATCTTGTCAAGTGACCAAAGATAAAATTCTTTTTTAATTCTCAAACAGAAAAGGCTATCAGATATAATGAATACGATTGAATTTTCTGATGCGTATGCATACAGTACATATCAAACTTTTAAACAAATCCTGCATATTCTTATCTACAAGAGGAATGGAATGCACAGATCAATCCATTAAGAATGCACGATGAATAATGTGCTTTTATGCAGTATACATTGTGTATGCCAACACATTTTTTTTAATATTCTGTTACAAGACTGCACTACTTTGCAAAACGTCCAGGTGGCATAATGAATGCTTAACATGACACATGACACATGCTGAGCCCTTATGGGACAATCATTTTCCAATCATTGAATTTAATTTGTAAACTGTTTTGACTTTTATTAATTTTATGCCGCAAATTACAGTTTTAATATTAATATTAAAATATTAAAAAGTTTTAATATTTAAAACAGAAACAAAACAAAATTACTCAGCCAGATACAGTACATTAAAAATAGTTTATTAACTAGGAGACACAACGTTTTGGCTGTGGAGCCTTCTTCGGTTTATTACTATAATGTGAATGTGATGTCCTTTTTTCAGGTTTACATCCACATTTAAAATAATCTGTATTTTGTCTTAATGGTGATTTCAGCAACAAGTAATTGGGAAACAACTGTAATTTAGATTTTGATTATGAAAATATATATTTCACATATATTGTACTATAATGTTTGGAAGCAATGTCAAAATGTTTCCAAAATAACCACAAGTGATATTTTCAGCCACCAAAATGTCTTTAGTTACAATCTATGATTCCATATTAATAATTTCTATTAAGTGGTATTAAAACAGTACTACAACTTTTTTAATAACAATAATGACAACAAGTGCAGTATTCTTAGAAAAAAGTTAAAACATTATAGCTTATTTTTAAGTAAATAAACTTTATATAGTTAGAAGGAGCCTGTTAAAACATTTCCAAAATAACCACATTAAGTGACTTTTAAAGATTTGATGCAGAAAATGTTTATGAAGATGGTGGAATGCTGTAGTGTAGTTTATTTTTTATGTTTAGCTACTATTACCTAAACCTGATGTGATGAAGTGAACTAGGAAGATGTTAAGAGATCGGTGAAAAGGAGATGCTTGTCTGTGTTCTACATGGGGAATGTGTCGGAACTCTACAAAGCATCATCTTCAACCTGGTCTAGCACATCACAGATGAACAGTATTGTATCCAATGGTAGATAATAGTCCCCCTTCTTGATCAAACTGTTGATGTCATGTACTGTAGGGATAACCCAAGAAAATATGTATACAGAAAAGAGATGAAGTGCAAGATTACAATTTAATCTCCTCCCGAACTTCCATTTAAGATCACTTTATTACCCATATACAATTTCTTGCATTAGGAACTTGTCTTTTTGCACACCCCAGCTTGATCTCCATGAGACACACAGGCACACAGACAGGGAGAGAGAAGCTTGGGGTCAGAGCTCAGGGTCAGCCATTTACTGTATATGGCAGCCCTGGAGCAGCTGGGGTTAAGGGCCTTTAAAGTGTACTGTATATAAAGTGTGCTTGGTTATCACAAGAAAATAGATGTTTGGCATTGCCAACTTTAAATAAAACTGATTATTTCTGTCTATGGTTTCTTGGAGTTAACCAGCTACAGCATATTATTCACTCTTTCCAGACTTAATTTAAGAGATGATGAATTGTGGTAAACAAGCTGACTAGGATTGTTATTACCTTTCCAATCAAAAGCTGAGCTAGTGGTTGCAGGTATATTACTCTAAGATTTTTGGTGTTGGTTGAAATCTAAGAAACTGAAGAGAAAATCCCGCTTCACCTACTGTATGTTTAGGTTTTATTTCCTTGAGATTCTATGGAGTGAAATTGATGGTTAAACCAAAGGAAATGAGTAGTAAAGGAGAATTCTTTATTTTTTTCCACAGCTAAACAATTTTTACTTACACCGAGGGCAAAATTGTAAAATATAATGCGAATCCTGATTACTGCTTGGCTGAGGGCTACTGACAGGAAAACGTCAAATGCACAGTACGTATTATTCATTTCCCTTTTATCTTCTAAAGGATTTCCTATTATTAATTCTGATCAACTTCATTTTACCCTTTACTGTTCTTTTACATTCTTTTACATTAAACTCTGAAGAAAACAACCTTAATATACTGCAAAATACTTTTGGATGTCTCATGTATATTTTCCTTTTTTCCTTTTTACCTGCTTTTGCAATTAATTGGGGTCCATTTTCTCAGTTAGATGCTATCCTTTCATTGAAGCTTATTTTTGATTTGATCAAAGGCAGCTCCTGTCACACTTTACATTTCCCATGTATTTATTATTGTCTTGCGTAAGTTTTGCATAAGACAGTGTTTGTTGACCATTGCAAACAGTGAAGTCAGTACCCTTCAAGGACTTTTTTGAAGTATCCTAATTTAAAACTTCAGAACGTTCATGAAAGTGCCACAAAATATAATTTTATAAAATCTTCCATTTCAGTGATAGAAATGTTTAAATACAAATTTGAGAAAAAAAACGCTTTATCTCCCTCATTACAAAACAGCTGTTAGCCCAGAATATCAAACATAGAAATGACTAATTTAACTCTATTGAAAGCAGATGAAAATTAAATTGCACGCAACACACTACATTATGTATGATATTATAATAAATTAGCAATTTTACTGCACCTGCGCCGTTAGTCTTCTTGACTAAAAAGAAAATATATCTTCCTTGAATTATTTCTCACACAGATAATGATTTAACAAAGGTACCACAAATGCATTACAGTTTTGCTTATCTGCACTGTCTTTGATGCTGTCTACTGAAGACCCCAAACTATCATACCCATTATAACCCACTTGTACTCTATACCAGTCACTATGCTCTTGCTGCAGTATATGCAGTGTATGCAGTGTATGCAGTGTATTATTTTAGTACCTGCAAAGCATCTAGGAATGTAATCTCCAGCACAATATATTTTTTATGAAGGTTCTCTATTAAAATTGTATAGTGAATACAGTTTCCTTGGTTAATAATAAAAGTAATGCTTGTCTTACCTTTTGTAGTAAAATAGATCCAGAGTATTTTGTGGTTAAAGAATATAGTTCTCCTCCGAACGCACTGGCCCATAGTTGTACCCTAAGGCATAAAAACATCATTTATTTTGTGTGTAGCCTTTTGCAAACAGTGAATCAATACACTTTATCTGTTTTTATTGCTTATTTTATTAGTTATTATTAAACTCTGTCATCTCATAGCAAGTTTACATCATTTCACCATAGCAAAAGAGCAGTATTTCTACATAAAATAATCAATGACAGTACAGTAATGCTGTTACCTGTTACATGAATATATGCCTTCATAATTGAAAAGGAAAGGTAACAGATGCAGAGCCTTGCTAAATTATTTAATTATTTATATGTTGCTTTTAGGCTTGCAGCCTTGAATTTATACTTGGTATTCACACCACCTACAACACAGTCAAAACAAAGAATGAAAAGAAAGAAGTAAACAGGAAAGAAAAATATAAAGGGCATAATTACAAATTTATTCAATCCATTTAACAATAGCAAAGCTAAATTAATGTTGGTGTACAAAATTATTTTAAAGAGCTACACAATCAGTTGTTTGGCCCATATCTGTGTGCAATAACAGTGCAGTACACTGTAACAGTACAGAGAAAATACACCCGACTGTAGGGTCCGTCAGATATTAATTGCTGCTTCAGTCAGGTAGTAAATATCGTAAAAAAAGTGGTAATTAATATTAAGGAGCTTTTGTGGTCAGATGAGATGAATACTGTATCTTTTTGGTGTGACAGCATTACTGTACATCTTATGCTTACCCAACATAATACATCACTCAGTCAACACCATCCCTACTGTCAAGTACTGTGTGTTATACTATAGATCTGCTTGTCTTGAAGGACAATAACTGAAAAGTTACACTGGATTGATTTAAGAATAAGAAAGTGAATGTCTTTGAGTGTCATGGTCCTGTCTTGAATCCTATTGAAAATATATGGACAGACTTGTAAACTGATCTCCATTAGCGATCCCTAAGCATCTTGGGAGAGTTTAGCAAATCTGCAAACATGAACGGGCCATGAATGCACCACCCTGGGTGGCAAAACTAGCAGAAACACACCCTGGTAGTTTAGTGGTTAGCATTGCTGCCTTGTATCGTTTTGTTGTCTTGGGCTTAATTCCTGTTTTTTTTCTTGGTGCTCTGACTTCCTCCCACAGTCCAAAGATGTGCTTGCAGTTTAATATGTTTCTGTAAATCGATTCTGTAAATGGTGTGAATGTGTGCGTGTTTTTTGTCTGGGTGTGCCCTGAAAAATGGACTGGTGTCCCATCCTGGCACCACCATAACCCTGAAATGGATAAAAGGTTATAGAAAGTGACTGGGTGATGTCTTTGCAGCTCCAATGGTTTCCAAAGGTGCTTCCACCAAATATTTCACAGGTATGAATGCATTTGCAATCAGCATATTTAATTTTTCTGAAGTGTTTAGAGACATTTTACGAAGTTGCCAGTTTAAGCATTTAGGTTTTGAATAAAATATTTTGCAACTTCACTAAATGGGACACCTTAGGAAGAGTCTGAATACAAGGCACTGAATACCTGATATTCTACAAACACATACTGTGTGTCAGACAGAATATCTGGTTCTCAGTTTACTAAATTATTCCAATCATCACTTTCTAGGATGAAAGAGCATTTACCAAACTCTGAATTCTTAGGTATCATTTTCAAATAGGCATTTTTTTTTTAATAATGGGTATTACTTTTTAGAAATAGAGCGACTGGCCTTGTTTGAGATGCAGAGTGCCAAAATGAATGTCTTCAAGGGCCTTTATAGATTTGATATGAGATATTATTAACACAGTTTTAATTAATGTATTATTAACACTGCCCCCAGTTATCTCAAGGGTGTAACCTTAAATGTAGGACGTGTACAGTATATTCTGATACAATCAGCTTCTAACAAAAGTACAACCGTTGCAGTGTTTTTCCACTTAAGGAAAAAAATATACACTTGACTTCTTGAACTGTATCTAGCTGCATTGCCTATATCCTATGTGTGGTTATTCCCAGCCACACTATTTTAGGGGAGATGAGGCTCACGTTGTAGCTCAGTAGCAGACAGTTTGTGCTGCCGATGTAAAGTGTGTATCTGAGCAGGGTTGACAGGGGACCTCTGATGTTAAGTGAGATTTACTGGCCTGCTGTCAATCTGCATCTGCGGGATTATGTGAAGATGCTAATGACACAACAGGACTTTCAACTGGGCATCCAAGGAAGAGATTAGGCGATAAGGGCTTGGGCCACACTCAAGCATTCTGTTCCTTTGACATGTCAGGATACGAGGAGGTTGTAACCTAACCTGGGCACACAGGAAAGAGAACTGACAGTTTATTTCATGTTCTCATGTAATTAGAGACTCCGGAGTGGCTCATCCAGTACAGGTGCTCACTCATATACAGGCTGAGCCGTTTGATCAAGGGTTTGAGTCTTGGTTATGTGACTGGCCAACTGGGACAGGAATTCCCCAAGGGGTGAGAGTTTGACTTGTGAGCTCCCCAAGAGTTTTGCTGAGGGTAGAGTGGAGTCAGTCGACCAGGGAGTAACATGAAGCTGCCATTGAGGGATATGCCTCTTCTCCTGTCAGCCCCGAACCGTAAGGGACAGTAAGGGACTGTGTTGCTTATGGCATATTAAAAGATAATCAGTTTAAGGGTAGGCAGGATGGACTAGCCTGTGTGGTTTGAAAGCTGAAATGTGAAGATCACACAGCTGGCTGTTTTAAATCAGGTAGGTAGAACAAAGATATTTGGCTATTCTAAATAAAAATGTAAAACACAAAATAAAACAGTTATATTCTCCTTCAAAACATTTCCTTATTTAACAGTAAATCTGAAACCTACTTCTCATTAGCCTCTTTCAGGCATAGTGTGTGTGTGTGTTAAAGCAGCCAAGTATTCGCTAAGGCCGGTCACTGAGTTAGCAGCTGATTCAGTAAAATTCAATAAAGGCTGCAGTTGTGTGTTATGGCAAGTGAATGACGACAACTGGACAACTGCTAGGTAACAAAGCCTGGTAGAGCAAGGTAGAGAAGAGGCTCTAGGCACTGTATGGAACCAGAGGCTGCGATGTCCGATGTCTATGAATGTTTGTTGCTGTGGAGTGCCAACAATGGTTGGTGGCTGTCTGTGAGCAGTTAGTATAGTACACCACAGAGCCAGGACTGGGAATTGGATTTTCACTGCTACTACTCTTGAGAGGCTAGTGTGCATACAGAATGTTTTCCATACCCTGGCGCTCTGTGTCCATGAGCGAGTGGTCAAGGGGCAGACAGTATGAAACAAGCATACTGGTTGCTGGGATACTGCGAGCGACGGGCTCAGTGATTCTAACTTCCAAGCTTGACTATTACCCTAGTGGGGGTCATAAAAGCTAGTACCGAGGTATTGGGTATTGAGTTAGACATGCCAGCGGGAGGCGGTGTAGCTTTGTAGACAGATCTCTGGGCATGGTTAACCCAAGATCTGGGCATCTTTAGATGTCTTCAGTTCAGCTATCGCTCCAAAAGGAGAATGGATGAAGAAATTAACTTGCAACAACTCAGAACAAGAGACACCTTGAATCTAGTGTAATATCCTGGAAGGGGGCCGATGACAACACTAAACGCAGAGGAGATTACGTAAAAAGGGGCAAAATTAGCTACAAATTACAAAAGAAAAATTGCCCACTGGACATGAAACAGCCAGGACCCAAACCATTTCACATGACATCACAATATATAGTATTGTATATTGTAATGCAACAGGGGCTCAGGCGGGCACCCTTGCCGCATTAGGTCAGCCCCCCACCGTCACGGACTCGAACCCAGGACTCCCGCATCTCTCTGCAGTGACCCAGCCCTGTGAGCCAAAGAGAGATCTCCTTACAGCCCAGTAGCTGTGGTCCTGCTATCACAGGGAAGGGCGGTGACGTCACCTGCTCTGGTACGCCGGCTCTTACGCACTGCCTGTCGGCCGTAAGTGTTACAATATAATCTAGGCGATTTGAACTCTTAATGAGTTCTGAGTTCAGTTCCTGATTTCAACTGAGCACTGTCCCTGGACTGAGCATCAAATCTCTTTTCCTCCTTTCTCTGTAACTGTTGCTTAATTTGTTAATTGGGTACGCCCATGAGCCTATCTGAACCACAATGCTCTGCGTTTTCTGATAAACTTGATTTTCACCCATGTCACCCATTTTCACCCTTAGCTTTGAATTGAACTGCCTGTTCCTGGTGCCACAGCGTCAGTAGGGAGAGTGCAACAGTTCCCTGGAAAGATATTAAGAAATAGAGCAGATCTATATTAATTCGCGACACATAACATGAGGGTTTACCATGTCATAATATGGCTCCTCTGTTTGTTTATAAAGGTGGAAAATTCTGCCTTCCATTAATACATTTTGATATGGGTCATGCTTCCGCACGTATGTCTGAAATCAGAACTCATTAAGAGTCACTATTTAAGAGTTTATCAATTAATTAACTAATTAATTGGTCAAGATCCCAGGCCAGCTGTGATCTGAGTCAGATTAAACTGGGATTCCCTGAGGAACACCTTATGTGCTTGAACATACAGTACATCCAGAAAATGAATAATAATAATACTGAAGTATGATAAAATGGATTTTGAAGTCCCATACAATGTGAAAGATGGATTAGCCAGTCTGGGGAATTTAATTCTGTCAAGATAATTATAAGGCCAAAACAGAGTAATAGCACTGATGTTACTGGAGCCTCCAATTATTCACCACTATCATTAAAATAATTATGACTAATTATGACTAAAAAATTCAAATCCTTTTAATTAACATCCTATTGAATTCTCAAATTTTCCTAAGTGGAATTCCTATTGTATTTTTTAAAACAATTTTCCAATTCTCAATCCAAAATGTCAATCGCAGTTTTCCGATAAAAGGCCCTTTCCCCTAGTCCATTGTTTAGTTTGGACTTTGATATTAAGAACAAATACATTTAAAATTTACTGTGTAAAGAAAAAAAACATCAAAGCAAGCCAGGAGTCTGTGCAGTGATTCTGGATTCAATTATTCCTGCACAAAGAAAGGTTTTATAAA